TCGTACAATTATTGCTTCACGCGATGTTTTACACGACGATCGAGAGCATCGAAGGAAATTTTAAAATCTTACAAGATACACGCAATATGCCAATCCACCTACCTCCCCCTTTATGATTAGTTTTTCACCCATAAGTCGAAGAATATCCCTCGCTTTCACATCTGTCCCGGGATAATTTTTCTTCAGCAACCTTCCCGTTTCATTTTTGTATCTGAAACTTTCAGGAATTCACTTTAAGGAAACTTTTATTTCGAGTGGAAATCTGAACTGAAAAAGTATAAGTCATTAAATCATTAATGCGATCGGATTAACTTCAAGTTGAACTCACAACTAACCGATCAAAAGCTTGATTCCTTTGATCAAAAGCTTGATGAAGCTCATTTCCACCTTTCAAGAACCAAATAAGTGCCATAACAATAATAAGAACTGTCAATGAAAAAATCACCACTTTGTCATATCCTGAAAAAAGAAATTTAACGAAAAAATTTGGTTTTAACGAAAAAACGAAAAAAATTAACGAAAAAAATATTGATTAACGAAAAAAAAATTGTATAAAAAAAATTGAGTCATGATCATTTGAAATAATTGATTACCCGTTTCTGGACTATACGAAAGATTCGAGTTAGAACGTGATCTTGGTAAAATACGTGAATATTCCTCTCCCTCAAGTAGCTCGTCATCATTATCATCGCCGCATTCACCACCCATTCCATACTCCTTATCGTTGCCATCAACGTCCGAGTGAGATATATCACCTTCATCAGCCGTATTAAATGATCTGAAGGAACTGATTAAACGTTTGTTTTTATCACTATCGAAATGATGGCTCATTAAGACCAACAATAACACCTCATAAACATACCCTTCTATGGACTGATCAAGTTCAGGATACAACCTATTTCTATGTCTAACACCGCTATCAAATGAGGGATGATCAGGCATGGACTGGTAATCAGATTCGAACTGATTACTCAATGGTGCATCAAATGACTGACGACGGTTTCTGTCGTTACTGTGTGAACGAAGACTTCTGCGACGTTCTGCACTCATTTTTTCGTTGATTTCGCTGAAAAGTTTGATAAATTTTATTAAGTTCACGTCAAATAATAACTGATTGATAGCATAAAGTGACTAACATAAAGCAAGGTTTTTGATTTCAACCATAGACGTTGGATGACAAAATTACAAAATCAATCGAACAAACGATTATGATCATAAAAATGATATTTAATAACGAATAAAATAATAAAAACTGTGGTCATATGTAATAATTACATTAGTATATTCAGCTGATGTTTCACATCGATCGAGTCCTGAAGAGTAGAATTGTTAAAGTTCGTTAGAATCGGAACAGCGCGAGAATATAACTGGTTCGAATGTCAATGATAAACGCCCTCATCAGATGATAAGAGGATCATGCAGGGCTAGGATGAAGATATGTGGAATTTTTTAATCATTTTGATTTACCCTTTCGGGCATTTGATCTCATTTCTAGCTGTGCGCTATTCTTGTGCGATCTGGTCCCTTTTTTCCTGTTATTTTTCAGAACATTGCTGAATGGAATCGAAAATTCAGCAATCATTTGA